AAAAGTGTCAATATGGCGAGTGATGACCCCAGTGCCCTGCTACAACTAGCCACAGCGGCTGAAGAGTTTGAGGGGGCCAGCGGCGACATCAATACGCCAGCAGATGACACCACATCAGCTGCAGAGACCTCACCGCTCTTGCTCCTGCAGCAACAGCTAACGGACCTGCGAGCATCGCTCCTCGAATCCCAGGCGCGCGAGGCCCAGCGAGATTCCCTAATGGAGCAGCTGACTCATATCGTGGCTGCCCAAGCGCCGAACACAAGCGCTCCTGATCAGTCATCCTCAAACCGCTCAGTACAGCGAGAAGTCAAAAATGTCAGGCCACCGACCGGCACGTACGAGATGTCCTCCGTGGAATACCGCACGTTCTGCCGTGACTGGCGTGACTACCAGCGTCTTACACAGGACTGTAATTCAGCCACCGTGACGCACATACGTCTGATGTGTGACGCACAGCTACGGCAGGCCATCGATACTATTCATGGCGATAAATGGCAGAGCTACAGCGTCGACCAGGCACTGCAGGAAATCGGCAACATCACCAAACACAGTAGCAACCCAGCTGTGGCTCGCAAACGTTTCCACGCGCTAGCACAGACGCCAACTGAACCAATCAGAGAGTTCGTCGTCCGGTGTAAGCAAACTGCCGCCGACTGCCGCTTCACGTGTCCATCCTGTAACAGCGACCTTACCGACTGGATGCTGACTGACCAGATCACCTGCGGCGTCCAGAGCGAGGCGCTACAGCAGGAGCTTCTACTGAAGCACAGCAGCTTCTCCAGCTTCGAGGCGCTGCGTTCGTACTGTGAAGCGCATGAGTCAGCATATAGAGACAAACATGAGTTGTCGATGGCTTCCGCCACTTCTGTAGCTGCGGCCGTAGCTCCAGTCGACACCGCTGAGGACATCGAACAGCCGGATCCAGATCAAGCACCCGAGCTTGCCGCCAGGATGTCCGCTCACACCCGGCAGAAGCAGGGCAAATCCCACCAGCCGGCAGCCCCATGCTCCTTCTGTGGGCGCGCTGCACACACCAAGGGTCGACAAGGCTGTCCGGCGCACGACAAATTCTGCACCCAGTGCGGTAAGAAAGGCCACTTCAGCACTGTGTGTCGAAGCAAGACAACGCTCAGCTCGGTGCGCGTTGAGCCTAACGTCGTAGCTGGTGTCGGGCGCGGACTTCCTCGCCTGCAGCTCACTGTGATTCACCCCGGCAGCCGCAAGTCGCGTGTTCTCAGCGCCATCGCCGACACCGGTGCTGAAGTCTCCGTCATGGGTCGCTCACATCTAACACAGCTGGGACTCAGCCCCAAACACTTAAAGAAGACGCCAAGACGTCTGCAGCATGCAGCCGGTGGTGGTCTGCAAGTGCTTGGCACCATCCGGATGCGGCTTTGCCTTCAAGACAGGCAAATCACAGAAGACATATTTGTGGTAGCGGGCGTCAGTGACATGTTCCTCTCGCTATCAGCATGTAGGAATCTGAGCATCGTACATGCCCACTTTCCGTGTCACCAGATCGGCGCCATCTCTGGCGCTGATCATCCTCCTGAAGGCGCCGACATGACCACAGACAGGCCCCACCACCTGCCTGATCGTCCAAACCAGCTCCCATTTCCACCCACGGAGGGAAACATACCAAAGCTGGAGGCCTGGCTGAAGGAGCACTTCTCGGACAGCACCTTCAACACCACGTGTCAGCCGCTCCCGGCCATGTCGGGGCCGCCACACCACATCCACCTGAAGGATGGAGCTGAGCCGTTCGTCGCTCACACACCCATTCCAATTCCACATCACTGGAAGAAAGAGGTCAAGCGTCAGCTGGATGACGATGTCGCCAGGGGTATCCTGAGACCAGTTCCTGCCGGAGAGCCATCGGAGTGGTGCTTCAGGATGGTCACTGTACCGAAAAAAGGACGGCAAACCGAGGAGAACGGTGGATTTCCAGCCCGGTAACAAAGCATGTCTCCGCGAGACTCACCATACCCCTCCACCATTCGACATGGTAAGCAGCATCCCCCCAAAAAGCTACAAGACGGTTCTAGACGCCTTTAATGGGTATCACCAAGTGATGCTAGACGAGGAAAGTCGCAAACTGACAACATTCATCACTGAGTACGGCCGATATCAGTATCTGCGTACACCGCAGGGTCACTGTTCAGCTGGTGACGCCTACACAAAAAGATATGATGACATAGTCGCTGGTGTGGAAAGACAGTGTAAATGCATCGACGACACTCTGCTGTACGATGCAGATATCAAACAAGCGTTCTTCCACACATTCGACTACCTCACGCTGTGTGGCAGAAACGGTGTGACATTGAACCCCGACAAGTTCAAGTTCTGTCGTCGTGATGTCGAGTTCGTCGGCTATTTCCTAGGATGGGAAGACTACAAGCCAACAGGCGACAAGCTGTCAGCCATAAAGAACTTCCCTATGCCGGAGCAGCCATCCATCACAGACATCAGATCCTGGTTTGGGCTGGTGAACCAGCTCGCGCCGTTCATGGCCGTCTCACCCCTGATGGAACCATTCAGAGACCTTCTGAAGCCTGGAGCCTCCAAGAAAGTCTACTGGGATCAGAATCTCCAGACGATCTTGAACAAAACCAAAGAAGCCATATGCAGTATGGCGGCAAATGGACTCGCCTACTTCGACCGGTCCCGGCCAACCGCCGTGGTGACCGACTGGTCCAGAAATGGAATTGGCTTCGTGATCCTCCAGCAGCACTGCAGCTGTGCCAAACATCAAGCGCCGTTCTGCTGTACAGGGGGCTGGAAGCTGGCCCTCTGTGGTAGCCGCCATCTGTCTTCGGCGGAATCAAACTACTCAGCGGTGGAAGGCGAGGCACTGGCCGTGGCGTGGTGCTTCAAGAAGGCCAGGCTGTTCCTCCTCGGTAATCCGGGCTTCCTTCTTCTCGTGGACCACCGGCCGCTGGTGAAAATCCTTGGCAACAGAGCCCTCGGTGACATATCAAACCCAAGGCTGCTTCGTCTCAAGGAGAAGACGCTGCTGTTCGACTATCGGATCAAGCACTTGCCTGGGAAGCAGAATCTGGCCGCAGACACGCTCTCGAGGTACCCAGTCGGCGCTCTAGAACCAGACAAGGATGACACGGACGTTAGTGAGGATCTGGAGGCCCTGGGCGCCATTGTGTCAGCATTAACGGCCACCTCAGAAGACGTCATAGCCATGGATCCCCAACATGTCAAAGACGCTGCGCAGTCTGACGAGCAGTATCAGCTGCTGTCTCAGAAGGTATCGTCAGACAGTTTCGCCAATACTCGGGCCCAAGAAGACCCACTAGTGCGAGACTTCTACAATGTCCGAGACCGTCTGTGCATAGCCGACGACCTTTTGATGTACGGCGTAGACGAAAAGGACCTGAGACTGGTTATTCCCAGGAACCTCCGCCGTCAGATCATCAAAAACCTGCACTCTGCGCATCAAGGCTCATCTTCCATGCTGGCACGAGCTAGACAGGTTGTTTACTGGCCCGGCATGGAACATGACGTCCAAGACCATGCCCGGCACTGTGAGCAGTGCCGTCGCCACGCGCCGTCTCAGCAAAGAGAACCACTGCTTCCCTCCCCAGCCCCAGACTACCCGTTCCAGCAAGTGGTCGCCGACATGTTTGAGCTCAACGGAAACATGTACCTGAGCTACGCTGACCGGCTGACAGGCTGGCTGGAAGTTCACCATTTTCGCTCAGCTGTGACGTCAGAAGCGCTCTGCGGCGTATTCCGCCAGCTGTTCCACAGATGGGGCGCACCTCAAGAGCTGTCGTCTGATGGCGGACCCAACCTGTCAGGGCGGCCCTTCCAGCTGTTCCTGCGCAGGTGGGGCGTCCGGTGGCGCCTCTCGTCAGCCCACTTCCCTCAGTCGAACGGCCGAGCTGAGGCCGCCGTTAAGACAGCCAAGCGCATCATACGCGAACACACAGGAAGAGGAGGTCATGTCAACACGGATGAGGCAGCACAGGCGCTGCTGATGTACAGAAATACGCCGCTACGAGACGGCGGTCGGTCCCCGGCACAGCTGGCGCTGGCAGGCACCTCCGCGACAGCATCCCGTCACCGTCACAGCGGTACAAGCTGAGCCCCGAGTGGTGCCGGGATCTCCGCCGACGGGAGCTCTCCATGGTCACCCGCGGCGAGAAAAGCAAGGCCGCTTATGATGTCGGCACGAAGGAGCTCTCCGAAATGTCGGTCGGCGACAGCGTCCTCTGTCAGGACGCCAGAACCAAAGCCTGGGACCGCCGAGGTGTCATCGTAGAAAAGTCTCCGTTCCGAAAGTACTTGGTCAAGATGCAGGGCACTGGCCGCGTGACGATCCGTAATCGGCGTCACCTGAAACTAGACTTACAGAAGTGATGTGCTCGTGAAGTCGGCGTGACTATCCGACTTGGAGGGGGGTTGTAGGGGTGCTCAACATCCTAGACCACGTGCTAATGTGCACGAGTCTTTTCGTTAGAAAATTGATGTGTCTTTTTTGGTCGGGATTAAAAAATATACTTTTGCTCGCTCTCGTATACGTTACGATATCTCCCTTACAGATACCAACTTGGTATTTGGTATTTCAATCCTAATGTACTTGGTATTTTGTTGGTAAAATGTGCCCTCACTTACGTATAAGAAGGCTGAGAAATTGGTAAAAAGTCGGTATTTCCCTCATGTTCTGAAGTTGGTTCGGTATCGGTATATCCTTACGGTTTATGTTGGGATTTGGTTTGGTATCGGTATTCAGATGTTCTGTAACTGACATCACTATTTCAGAGCCCCTGGCTCTTTAGGGTTGACCGCCTGGCCGGCTCTCAAAAGCCAGTGGCTCTCAAGCCAGGGAGCGATAGCGATTCTTGAAGATTAACAATATTTCAAGAGAGACTTCACGTGCAGGGCTCATTTTTTTGCGTTCGCTTATTTTTATTTTACTGGTTTAGTCTTAGTTGAAAATGTCGCCCGTTCTTCTGCTGACCGGCGGCTATCTGGTCGCCCAGGCACGCCGGTGGACGCTTACGGCGAGCTGCACCAGTTCCCCTGGTTTCATGGTACGCTGGCGCGCTCCGATGCCGCCCAGCTGGTCCTGCAAGAGCGCCAGCGCGGACACGGCACCTTCCTAGTGCGACAGTCGGAAACGCGCGTTGGAGATTACGTGCTGACCTTCAACTACCAGGGACGACCCAAGGTGGGCCGCTGCAGTGGGCGTCGGTGGGAGTGGTCGGCGGCGGGTTTGGAAGAAACTAGAAATGGTAAAAAGAAATGGTTAATAGGGGTGCTGTGCTTGGTAGAGATGGTCAGTGGCGGGGCTGGTGAAGATACGGCTGGTGGAATATTCAGATATACGGGGCTGGTGCTGTTTTAGTCAGTATTTATTTGTCACGTATCATGGTCACAATCGGTTGTTCAGAAGGTTTTCAAACGAATACAACACCGCTCTTGCAAATCTAACAATTGTTTTCGTTCAATCTAATCAACAATGCATTCAATCAAATAATGCAACGATTATCATTCCTAAGCAAACTACATGTTTTTTTTTTTTCATTTTGCGTTGTGCAAATCACAGCATATACTTAACATGGCATTGCAGTTTTGTTTCACTTTGAAGCAAACGTGTTGCTCATGATATAGTTATTCATTATTTTGTCGAAAAAGGATGGGAAAATGGCACGTGCGAGCGAGGTTTAAGTGAATAGTGACTAAGGGCAACAAATCTTTTAGAAAATTACGTTGCTCGCCTAATCGATCATGACAAGATCATTAGCCCTCAGTCGTTCGGTTAGTTCGCCACCGACCACTTGTTGGGAAAGGGGGGGGGGGGGTAAATGTCCCCAGCCAATAACTCGAAAACTCATAAGCGCAGCCATAGATAACATGAACTACCTGGATTGGACACTCGTTTTTGGCGCGAAAAATAAGTTGGCCTCTTATTTTTAATGACGGATTTTTAATCGGTATTTTTAGAGGCTGATACCTCAGCAACTGCTGGGTCGATTCGCCTGCGGTCTTTTTTGTTGGGTAGCTCCATCCTTTCTGCCCCGCAATTCACTTATCGTGATGCATTCAGGTGACCGTCGTGGCACGTGGCACGTGAAAAGTCGGGGTGTTCAAGTCGTTCTGCTAAGGTAACAATTTTGAGAGGCCTATATCTCAGTAACCACTGGGGCGATTGACTTGCGGTAACTTTTGTAGAGTAGCTGTATCCCTTCTAACAAACATTGGATACTCTTGGTGCACGTGAGTGACCCCCGCTGCACGTGCAATGTGCAAAAAACAGAACAGTTGTTAAATTTGTTCCCATTACAATAACTCAGCAACTACTGGGGCGATTTCGCTGAGACTTGGCATTCATGTAGGCAGTAGGCACCCACCGGGCAATGCATATCCGTATGTCATGGTTGGGGTGCTATTGCAAGTGCGCACGTGCAGGGGTCGCTTCCAGATCTCGAGAACGGCTGGACCGATTGCGCTCAAATTTGGTACACGATTAGAGACCGGCGAGAAGGGTGCCGTTCAAAAGTCAGCTGGGACCCATATTGCACGCGCGCACGTGCAGGGTGCGGCTTCCAGTTCTCGAGAACGGCTGGGCCGATTGCGCTCAAATTTGGCACCTCGCAAGAGACCAGTAAATAGAGTGCCGTGCACCGGGGAGGTTGTAGCTCTGCGCGTGCTCACGTGCTCACGTGCACACCCCTCTGTCATATCTCAGAAACGGACTGACCGATTGCAATGAAATTTGGTGTGTGATTGGATGCTGAATGTGTATGAGTTTTTCTAAGTCGATGAAGGTGAGGCAATGCACGTGCGCACGTGCAGGGGTCGCCTCCAGATCTCGAGAACGGCTGGACCGATTGCGCTCAAATTTGTCACACGATTAGAGACCGGCGAGAATGTTGCCTTACCAAAGTCAGTTGGGACCCATATTGCACGTGCGCACGTGCAAGGTGCCGCTCCCACATCTGAAGAACGACTGTGTCGATTGCAATCATATTTGGTACATCGCAAGAGACCAGTTGGTAGGGTGCCGTGCACCGAGGAGCCTGTAGCTCTGCGCGTGCTCACGTGCGCACGTGCACACCCATCCGTCATATCTCAGGAACGGACGGACCGATTACAATGAAATTTTGTGTGTGATTGGATGCTGACCGTGTATGAGTTTTTCTAAGTCGACGAAGGTGTGATAATGCACGTGCGCACGTGGGCACGTGCACATCGCACACCCCATATTTACAGCTAAAAACGAACAAGCCGATCTCAGTAAAAGCTGGTGTGCGATTCGGAAATAACAAAGTGCATTAATTGTGTGCTCCAGCACTGAATATGCATGTGCCGGTGCGCAAGTGCACACCCAACATAAACAGCTTAAAAACTGGAAGGCCGATTTCGATCAAATTTGCCGTGCGATTAGGGGATAAGATAACAAAGTGCATTGACTGTGAGCATCATAATGGGTGTGAGTATGCAAATATGAAGGTGCACAACCCATTTTTAGAGCTGAAAAACGGGCAGAGGCTGGTGGTGATCAGATTCGGGTCATAATCGATAGCGTAACTCGCTCAGATTGGGGATTTCGGTCAGGTCAGGTATATACCTGACCTGACCGTACCCAGCCTGAGTGAGCTACGCTATCGATTATGAACCGGATCTTATCACCACCAGCGTGCTCGTTTTTCAGCTCTAAAAATTGGGTTGTGCATATTCACACTTATTCTGATGCACACAGTCAATGCAATTTGTTGTCTTAGGTATCCCCTAATCGCCCGGCAAATTTGATCGAAATCGGCCTTCCAGTTTTTAAGCTGTTAATGTTGGGTGTGCTCGTGCACGTGCGCACGTGCATTAGCACACCTTCGCGACCTAGAAAAACATAGGCGTAGGAACAGGGGGGGGGGGGGGGCAGGTGGGCAAGTGCCCACCCACTTTTCGAGGTGGGGGGGGGGGCAACCATGTGTTTTGGCCCACCCACTTTTTACTCGAGGCCCCTCGTCTCGATTTGAGAGGACGTCGTCACCTTCCAGAATAAACAAACTCGGTAAAAATAAGTTCCACGAATCCCCACGCACGGACTCTAAGGGGCCGTGATGGATCCAAGGAGGCCCTCTGTTCATACTTGTCAGTCGAAGCCCCTGAGACTGATGGCCTGAGAGGCCCTAGTGGATCTGAGGAGGCCCCAATATCCACACTGGTCTGGGGAGGCCCCTGACACTGGCGGTCTGGGAGGCCCCTCTATCCACACTAGTCAGAGGTCTGAGACTAGTGGTCTGGGAGGCCCCTCCATCCACACTAGTCAGAATAGGCCCCTGACACTGGTGGTCTAGCCGAGGCCCCCTACCCTCACTAGTCATAGGAGGCCCCTCTATCCTCAATAGTCAGAAGAGGCCCCTGAGACTGATGGTCTGGGATGCCTATCCATCTACACTGTAGTCAGAGGAGGCCCCTGAGACTGATGACCTGAGAGGCCCTTATAATCACCAGGCAGAAGAGGCCCATGAGACTGATGGACTGAGAGGCCCTTCTATTCATTCTGGCCACAGGAGACCCCCAAAACTTTCGGTCTGGGAGGTCCCTCAATCCGGCACCAGTCAGAAGAGTCCCCTGAGACTGATGGCCTGGGAAGCCCTTATATTCACACTAGGCAGAGGAGGCCCCTGAGACTGATGGTATGAGAGGCCCTCATATTCACACCAGTCAGAAGAAGCCCCCGAGGCTGATGGCTGTGAGGCCCTTCTGTTCATATAACTGGCCACTGGAGGCCCCTGAAACCAGTGGTCTGGGAGGGCCCTCTATCCACACTAGTCAGAAGAGGTCCCTGAGACCGATGGTCTGAGAGGCTCTTATATTCATACTGGCCACAAGAGGCCCCTGAGACTGATGGTCAGAGAGGTCCACTCCTAATGAATCTGAGGGGGCCCTCTATCCACATTTACACTTTTCTAGGGAGGCCCGCGAGACTGATGGTCTGAGAGGCCCTTTTATTTATACTGTCCACAGGAGCCCCCTGAGATTAATGGTCTGAGAGGCTCTTCTATTTATACTAACCAGAGGAGGCCCCTAGGATTGATGGTCTAACAGGCCCTTCTATTCATACTAGCCAGAGGAGGCCCATGAGACTGATGGTCTGAGAGGCCCTTCTATTCAAACTATATATAGTGTCTCTTAGGGCCCTATATCGGTGGCTCTGCGGGCCCCACACCGGCGCCTCTGTGGGCCACCACACCTATGCATCTCAAGGCTCTATAGGTATATGTTGCAGGCACTTTGGAAAATCAGTCATTTTGTAAAATGCCTAGGCATTTTGCAAAATGCCTGATTTTCCAGGCTTTTTTGCAAAAAGCCTAGGCATTTTACAAAATGACTGACTCTCCAGTCATTTTGCAAAATGCCTAGGCATTTTACAAAATACCTAGCCATTTTACAAAATGACTGAGCAGCATGTTGTAGATACGAGTACCTAATTATATACGTTTTGGTAGCGTGTAGGTGGACCGAGGAGTCCAGCATTATGTCCAGCAGTGGGAAGTCCATACCTACCTCTATTTTGAGAAGTGCAGGCCCGCGACATTTCCAACCCCCACGTCAGCGACGCTGCTGGATTTAAAACGATCGATCTGGAGCGTCAACAAACGACTTCAAATTCGAACGTGTTTTTAATGTCCAAATACATAATGCAGTTTTGTCCGTAATGGCACAATCAAACAAAGACTACACTCATTCGTTTACATGTAATTGTACATCAACCGGGCCTGCCTATTGACTAGGCTGCCTATTGACTAGGGCCGGTCTCCGTTTGGTTTTGTTAGGTCTAGTTTCAGGCAGAACATGAACGGCGTTGATGTACTTGGGAGTTTTTACAGCGTTAACTAAACAATGCTTTATGCTACAGCCGAGTCTGCAACTCATCCTGGTCGTTACTCAGCATTGTCGTCATCACAGAACTTCAAATCGATCAGCTACAGGCTGAACACGTACCTATAGGGTATAGGAAGACGTCCAAAAACTGTTGGCCATAGTACTCTACGTTCCATGCTGGTCAGGCATTTTGCAAAATGCCTAGTCATTTTGTAAAATGGCTAGCCATTTTGAAAAAAAGCCTGGTTGCGTTCAGTCATTTTTCAAACAGCCGTCTTTTTGTAAAATGCCTTTACAAAATGACTGATTTTCTAAAGTGCCTGCAACATATACATCTGA